CCCGCCCAGGCCTGGGGCTGGAGGGAGGGCTGGAAGGTGCACCAGGCAGCCTAAGGCAGCAGGTTTCCGACACTCCTCCTACAAACACCCAGGGTACCTCTCCCTCTGGCCCCCTGTGGTGGAGCAGCGCCTCAGTGGTCCGACTTTGTGCCTTCCTTCCTCAGCTGGCATATTCCGGGAAGAGCCTGCTGACATATCCCACAGTAGGTCTGCATCCTCCTGGCCCCTCGTGGAGACCTAGTCTCACAAAGACTGTGTGTGTGTGTGTGTGTGTGTGTGCGCGCGCGCGCGCCATCCCAACTCCTGTCCCCAGCCATGCAGAGGTGTAAGCAACTGTGGGGTTAATTCTCTGACCCCTGCACTCCCCACAGTGGGCCGTGATGCTGCTGCGTCCCCGTTTTACCAGATGCAGGTGCTGTGGTGTCCGCTCCCACTCACTGTGACCCCACATGTGTCAGGGTGGAACTGTTCCATGGGGCTGTCCGTCGGCTCCTTCTTCAGGTGACCGCCAGGCCTTTCCTCCTAGTCGGTTTTGGTCTGGAAGTTCCCCTGACACCTGTTCAGTGTCAGCAGCACACCAGCCTCCACAGGCAGCTGCATTGGCTGGGTGTCGAACCCAGGTCTCCCGCTTGGAAGGTGAGGACTCTACCCTTGAACCTAAAATGCCTCAGAAACCAGTGTCGTTGAGCTGGCGCTGTCTGACGGTGTCCCCACCCTCACCCCGTGTGTCACAACAGAAGTGCACTCCTTAGCCTTCTCAGGCTGACTTAGGACGCAGGCACCAGGCCTGTCTTCCGAGGTACCTCTGAGACTTGAACTCCAAGCTTTCAATTAGTAGCTGAGCATGTTCACTGTTTGCACTGCCCGGGGACCTGCCCCCTTTTACAGATGGGAAACTGAGCATGGCATCTGGTTGTGCTTTGCAGCCCCTTGGCCTGGGACATGGAGGCCTGAGGTGGTGGGACCCGCCCTGCACCGCGTGCCCCACTAGGATGACCGGGGACCTGGGTTGATTTTTCCTGTGTCGGCTTATCAACAGTGGGTTTGATTTCTCCACGTGTAGGGCCTGAGGGCCTATTTTTCATGCGTGTGATGAGAGCGGACCATTCATAGAGGTATCCTTGGGAGAGCTTTGTTCTGGCAGGCCCCTGGCCAGGTGCCCTGGGTCATTGAGTAACTGATCGTAAATATCCCCATCCTGCCATTAAGGCTCTAACCTGCGCTGATGGCAACCCATGCTCCAGTTGGCGTCTGTACGGGAAAGACAGAGGGAGAGGCTTGACAGCCGACTCCAGAGCAGTTCCAGGCCTTGATTCATGTGTGGCTGCTAGGCCTGGGCTGTCTGGGGAGTGCCTTCTCATTGCGCATAAATCAGAATGGCGGCTTCACCCATTAGGACACTCAGCTCTTGGCTCTTGACCACCCATCTTGTATTTGGGGGCAAGGACTGGGCTTGTTTCTGCACTGTCTTGTCTCAGGTTTCAGCCAGGTTGATGCCCTGGGAGAGCTATTGTCTTCTCTGTTTGTTAAGCTGGGGGCAGGAGGCCTGGGGTGGGAGGGGCTGTCTGAGCTCCGTGGACACAGCTCCAAGGGGTTTACATTTTGACTCCTTCCACCAGGCAGTGGTCCTTGTGGCTGCATATCTCGGGGCCTCAGTTTCCCCAGATGTAAAAAGGTGATTGCATCTACCAGATAGGTATGTGAGGCCCCCTGAATCAATTGACAAAGGCCAGCTTGAGGAAAGCATGGGAAAACAGGAGCTGACAATGATGAGGTTAAATGTTCCCTTACTGGTGAGAGTGGGACTGTCAGTCCCCAGTTTGGTGATGGCAAGATGGCTGCCTCCAGAGGTGACTCATATATATATAAATTTTTTTTTTTTTTTGCAAAAAATGTTTCTTCAAACAGTTGGTTGATGGGAAATTCTTATTGCATGAGTAGCCCTGTTCTGATCTTATTTTGGGTCAAAAACAAAAAAAATTGGTGGCATTGGAACATTGCATCATTTTAAGTAAGAAGTCTTTGCAAAGACGGTGTCTTTTGCCATTTGCACCGTGAGTGTGGTCCCGGCTCTCCTTTTAAGGGAGGGCGGGGGGCTTCGCTCGGCAGGGATGGGAGGAAGGTTGGGGTCACCTTGACTTTGTGGACTGTCATAGATGCCCAGGTAAGCTGGGCAGGAAGGAACCCGTGGGCTTGTCCTGAACCAAGGAGGAGCCTTAGTCTGTAAGCTGTGGTGAGACCTGTGTACGATGTGCAATCTGCTGGCGTCTGAGACACCAGCGGCAGAGCCTCAAGCCTCCCTGCAACATACAAGCCCCACAGGATGACAAAGCCGGCCACGACCTCAGATGGACTTAGACAGAGCTAGGAGGCCCAAGGCGGGGCCACTGCATGAGGATGTCTTTGCACAGCAGCAGGATGGACTGGTTATTGGGGCACTATTGGGGGGCAGTGGCAGTTCACTGTAAAACCCTCACCTTCCATGCTGGGGACCCAGGTTGGAACCCAGCCACCACCCATCTCGGAGGGAGGCTGGCATGTTGCTGTGATGCTGAACAGGTGTCAGTGGGACTTCCAGTCTAAGAGACCGGGAAGAAAGACCTGGTGGTCTTTGGAAGGTTAGCAGTGACAGCTCATTGGACCACACTGGTCCAATCAGCAACTGGCCGCAAGAACGGGGCAGCACTGGGCAGCGTTCGGTTTGTTGTGCGTGGGTTTGTCATGAACAGGCTAGCTGCATGGCAGCTGACAATGACAATGACAAAACTTTGGGGCTGGCCTGCCCTCTAGGTGTGTACTAGGGAGACAAAGGCAGAGAGGGCCGTGGGCAGGGACGGGACTCCCAGCCAGGTCCCTGGCAGAGAACCCAGGCAGCTGAAGCCGGGTGGGAACCACCACATTCAGGTGGGTGGCTGACTGTGTGCACCCCATTTTCCTTGCCAGAATCTGAAACCGAGCCAGTCTGAGGGCACGAGGAGAGGGGTTGTAGGTCCTGGGCCAGAGCTGGCCTCAGGGCAGGTTCTAGATGCTCAGGGCAGGTTCCAGATGCTCAGGGCAGGTTCTAGATGCCGACTTCCTCCTGAGGACGGTGGCTCTGTGCCCAGTTCCCTTTTTCCCTCTGCCCCTGACCTCTGTGGCCAGCATGAGACTCTCCCCCTGGATTTATCACTCTCCTTTTGGCAAACTGTCTCCCTGCCTGCTGGGTACAGGACCTGTTTCCTGGGGACTCCTGTCTCTGTCAGCTGAGCTGGCTGGGTTTGCGTTCGGCCAAAGGCCAGGTTCCCCCTTGTGCCCTTTCTCATGGCCTCTCACTCTCAGAATGGACTTATTTCAGGAACAAGTGGGATCTGGCCAAGGGCCCAGAGTCTGGTGCTGCTTCTGATGCCCCTAAGAGGTCAGGATGCTTCATGGAGAGTTTGTTTAGTGAGAGGGGAGGGGAGGGAGCCACTCTCACACTCACACATGCTCATGTTTACACACGTGCTCACACACATGCTCTCACACACTCATACCGCTCACACGCACACTTATGCATGTTCCCACATGCTCACACACACTCACATGCATACACACATGCTCGTGCATGCTCACACATGTATGCTCACACACAATGCTGCCATGCACTTACATGCTCTCACACACACTCAGTGCTCACACATGCACTCACACATGTATGTTCACACACATGCTCACACACATTCACGTGCTCACATGTGCTCACATACACACACACACACACACACTCAACCTGAGTAACCCTAGCAAGCTTCTCCTGGATTCCACTTCATCCTCTTGGAGTCTGGGCTGGAGATAGCTGCCCTGGCAGCAGGATGGATGGCCCGGAGGCCTAGTCCCTGATTCTACTCCCTGGGCCACCTTTGAGGAGGTGCAGTGGGGGCACCAATTGCAGCCCCCTACTCTGTCCTCAGTATTGTCAAGGGATCGAGCAGGGATGCTATACTTTTGGACCTCAGCACAGCCTATGCTGGGGTTGATGGGGGAATTTTGGGGCGCTGCATCCCATTCACACCCAGGGGACCTCATCACCCTTGCAGAGGAGGTGGCCAGGCCTGCCCTTTCTCCCCAGCTGACCCTCAAAGTTGACCTGGAAGGAGAGCTGCTGGGCAGGCTGGGGCATCCAGGTGTGTGTGAGCTGGTCCCTGCCCCCATCCAGGTGTGTGTGAGCTGGTCTCCCCCATCCAGGTGTGTGTGAGCTGGTCCCCCCCCACCCCAGGTACGTATGAGCTGGTCTCTGCCCCCACCCAGATGCATGTGAGCTGGTCTCCCCCATCCAGGTGCTTGTGAGCTGGTCCCCACCCCCATCCAGGTGTGTGTGGGCTGGTCCCCACCCCCATCCAGGTGTGTGTGGGCTGGTCCCCGCCCCCATCCAGGTGTGTGTGAGCTGGTCCCTGTCCCCATCCAGGTGCTTGTGAGCTGGTCCCCCCCCATCCAGGTGTGTGTGGGCTGGTCCCCACCCCTATCCAGGTGTGTGTGAGCTGGTCCCCCCCCATCCAGGTATGTGTGGGCTGGTCCCCACCCCCATCCAGGTGTGTATGAGCTGGTACCCCCCCATCCAGGTGTGTGTGAGCTGGTCCCCCCCCCCAGGTACGTATGAGCTGGTCTCTGCCCCCACCCAGGTGCATGTGAGCTGGTCCTCCCCATCCAAGTGCTCGTGAGCTGGTCCCTGACCTATCCAGATATGTGTGAGTTGGTTTCCACCCCCACCCAGGTGTGTGTGAGCTGGTCCCCGCCCCCATCCAATGTATATGAGCTAGTCTCCCCCCATCCAAGTATGTGTGAGCTGGTCCCCCTACCAGATGTGTATGAGCTGGTCTTCCCCCATCCAGGTGTGTGTGAGATGGTCCCCCCCCATCCAGGTGTGTGTGAGCTGGTCCTCTCTGTCCAGGTATATGAACTAGCTTTCCCTGCCAGGTGTGTGCAAGCTGGTTCTCCCACTCTGGTGTGTGCAAACTGGCGCCCATTTTCCTTTCTACCTGCAGGGGTTGAAGATGCTTTGGAGCCAAGCCTGAGAGCCCGGGGCGCTCACTCCACCAGGCATGCCCCTGAAAGGCGGCCGGTGCCTGTTCGAAGGAAGAGGAGTGTTGGTAAGGATGAGGGCCCTGTGGGGCTGGGCCTGCTCCTTGACTCTGGCCCCAGGGCAGCCACTTGGTTCCTGGCTCTGTGTCAGTGGCCTCTGTGCCTGCACCCATTGTTCACTGCTTGGCCCCACTAGCTCAGTGGGTCTGGGAGGCCGCCCCTCCACAGGGTCCCCATGCAGTCCTCCTGGTACAGAGCTTCCAGGGCGAAGAGCCCAAGTGAATTCCTGAAGTGCCGTTCCTGTCACAGCACGCTTGCCGGGGCTGGAGCTGGAAACGTGGCTGTGCTGTTTCCAAACGCGGTGCATGGTGCTCCCAGCCATTAACTTAAAAACAGATGGTGGGGGCTGGGGGTGCAGGAAAGGCATGGGAGGGGGCCTTGGGGGCTGAGAGGTAGGGGCAGGGTGAGGCAGGGTGGAATGGCAGAGGTGTGTTCCCCGTTGGCCCATGCTTGGTTCCCCAGGCAGAACCTGGGCACTAGTTTGGAGTCATCTTGCATGGTACCCCATGTCTGCTGGAGAGGGCATGAGCTAGTCCAGAAAGCTGGTGGGGCCTCACAGGCTCTCTGGTGCTTAGCTGGGAAGGGGGGATACCATCTAGGCCTGGGTGGTGGGGGTGGGGGTTGACCTCACAGCCCCCTGCCTTCTGCCTGGGTCTGACCTTACCCCTCGCTGTTGCTGTGTGACCTTGAGTGAGGCCCACCCCGCCAGCGTTACTTTCCGTCAAGTGATGGTAGTGCGTTTTCTACCCCTGAGTGAGGAGTGGGAGCTCTGGTAGCATAGTGCCTAAGGCATTTGACTGCTAACCAGAAGGCTGGCGGTTCAAACCCACCAGCCACTCCTCAGAAGGAAGATTGAGCAAGCTACTTCTGTGATGATACCACCTCAGAAACCCAAGGAGGGGTTGCTAAGAGTTGGGTCCAACTTGATGATAGTGAGCTTGGTGTTTTTGAACTGAGCAAGGAGTATGGGTGAGCATTCGGACTTCGTGTCCTAGTTCCCATACTGTTCACACCAGACAGCCCCACTCCAGGCTTGTCGCAAAGGCCAGGATTCACCTCCACGGACGCTCCTCCAGGCCTGTCCTGATAGCTTGGGGAAACTGAGTCCAGACAGGGGAGACAGCAGCCATAGGAAATAAGGAGCAGGATTGAGGGGCTTGGCCTTCTGGTTATGTTGCCCCACATGCTTTGCTGGTAGCCCTCTCCACATCCCAGAGCAGTGTACTGTGGGGTGTGGGGTGCTGGGCTTGTTCTGGGGGACCCAGCAGCACCTTCCCAGCGCTGCCCTCCACGGGCCCCTGGTCCTTCACAATGAGGACTCAGGAGCTCAGCCCAGAGGGAGATGTGGACAGGCCAGCCCCGCCCTGTGTTGCCTCACTGGGCTGAGTGTTGGGGTAGCTGTGTGCGGACCTTGGAAAGGATGGAGCTGTCCTCCACGGGCTGGGGTCCCCTCCAGCTCTGGGGCTGGCATCCCGGTGACCCTTGCATGGCTCTGTGGGCTGGCTGGGACCTGGTATGTGGCTTCCGTCGGCCCACACAGACATCACCGACAGCTGTGACAGGCCCAATGGCTGGGCTGCAGTGGCTTTGCCTAGTAAGGCAATGAGTGGGGCAGCACCGGGCCCGGCGAGGCTCCGTCAGCCCGCTGGTCACACCTGGCGTCCAGACAGGCTCTTGGGGCTGTGGACAGCACAGAGCGGCCTGTGCCCTGCATAGCTGCCCCTGGGCAATGCAGCAGAGGAGACGGCTACCCCCGACGCCACCTCCCTGGGACGGGTGACCTCCAGAGCTGGCAGTCAGGGCACTGTGTCCCTGCATTCGCACCCTCTCCTGCCTCCCACCCCGCAGACACGTTTTTCTAAGGTTGCGTTGTGGTGAAATGCACCAAACAAAACAGTTTGTGAACAGCGGAAGCACCTTCGGCTCCGCAGCCGCCTGCCATCTGTTCCCTCTGCTCCCCGGAGTTCACCATCAGCTTCAGCCGAGGCTCATGCCCCTTCCCAGGCACTGCCTGCCCGTCCCGGGCCCTGGAGCTCTGATCAGCAGTCTGTGTCTGCGTTGCCCGTCCCGGGTGTTCCGTATAAACAGGGTCATGTAGCGTCTGCCCTGCCACAGACCTCTCCCAGGACTCTCTGGGCCGTCTGGTTACTTTGTTTTTACAGCTGACTGACACCAACACCCCACCCAGATGTGGCCATGGAAGTGGCCTTGGTGCCTGAGGGGTCTTGAGCCCTGGAAGGGAGAGACTGTCCGTGGGTTTTGTCCCCACCAGCACCAAGGCTTGGCTGTTTCTGAGGCGCCGCTGCTGGTTGCCTGGCCCCCTTCTCATGTAGCAGGGACCAAGCCTCAGTTTCCCTTGTTCTACATCCTGTCCCTAAGGGGAGCTTCCTAGCACCGACATTGATGGGCTAAAGGGGCTGCCTGAGGCTTCTAGTCGTGGCACCCAGCCTCACTGTTGCCCGACCAGCTAGGCTTGCTGAGTTCCGCACCCTGCCCCACGGCATGTGGCCTGTCGTGTCGCTGCCCAGTGTCACGGGCTCTGCCTGGACCACCCCTTCTTGGTGCTCACCCTTGGCCAGCTCGGCAACATCTTGGGCACCCGGCGCAGAGTTCTGTCTGCCTTTGCGGGTGATTCTGCTGCTCTTCCCAGTCTGTGGGCTCTCACCGTCTGGGACCCTTGCAGCTGGGGGGAAGGGGACGGACAGGAGGTGGGGCTGGCACTCACCATGCCCCTGCCTCCACAGAGGAAGCCATCCCCGCAGTCTGTAAGACCAGGACGGTCATCTATGAGATACCTCGCAGCCAGATCGACCCCACCTCCGCCAACTTCCTGATCTGGCCACCCTGTGTGGAGGTGAAGCGCTGCACCGGCTGCTGTAACACTAGCAGCGTCAAGTGCCAGCCCTCGCGTGTGCACCACCGCAACGTCAAGGTGAGCCCTCAAGCCCAGCCAGCCCCTGGCCTGCAGACAGACGGCCCACAGACCTTTCATACAGGAACCTGTGCCACACGACCCACAGAACCCACAGCCAGGGACCCCGGCCACACGGCCCACAGACCTCACAGCCAGGGACCCTGGCCACACGGCCCACAGATCACAGCTCCTGGCCCAGCCACACGATACCCCCACCTTGAGCCTTTACAGCATGCTGTCAGCCAGGCGATGTGTGGTGAGTGGGCATCTGTCCTGGGTTCTTGGCAGCACCTTGAGCAGTGGTGGGGCCAGAGCTTGAGTCTCATGGTGGCCGTGATCTGTGGGAGGGCTGGGGGCGGGGAGAGGGGGCCTTGCCACTTGGCCGACTCGGTGTGTCATTCTCGAAAGAGTCTTGTGCAGGTCTCACCTCTGAGCTGGGAACTCCTGACATGTGCAAATGCCTGTCTTGTGGGAGGATCTGGGTGCGCTCGACCTAGGTGCAGGGCGGGCCTGTACTCAGACCTTGGCTTACGGGGGAACTGCTCCCTGGGAACAGGGAGGGGCACTGCTCGGTGGGTTCTCTCACCCTCTCTGGGATCCTGGACGTGTCCCTGACCGGGAGGGGGCTCTGTCCTGTCGCCTGGAGTGGGTGGTGCGCCTGCCCCAGGACACTGGGATTTGGTGCTGCCAGACGTGACACTGACCAGGATTCTGGGCGGGAGTCCTCAGCTGGCTCTCTACCCTTGTTTCAGCTTCCAGTGTTCTGGGTGGGGCTCTAACCCAGTGGCTTGGGGGGCCACACACAGCTGGCCACTTGCCACGAATCCCCCCTTGGGGCAGGGCCTGGCTCTGTGGCCTCCAAGGGCAGCACTGGGGCATTCAGGAAGACCACTCTCCAGTTACATATGGGGGAGCTCTGTGTTTTCCACATTATATTTCCTGGGGGCAGTTCTCCTTCCGGCCTCTCCGGGCATCTGAGTTGGGGTCTGGGGCACCTGGCATGTGGGCTGGAGGCCTGTTCTCAGGGCCTAGGTTCACCCCTCCAGCCTCTGTCCCTGTCTGTGAAATGGGTCAGCAATATGGTTCTTTGATCCTGCTGAGACCTGGTTAGTGGTGGAGTGGAGGCACAGACTTGCCTGCAGGCTGGGTGGTGTCCCTAAGGCTTTGAGGTGCCCCTCCCTGTCTGGGCCTCAGTCTTCCTGCCAAAGGGCAGGACCAGAGGTGGGGGGCTTCTGAGGTACCTCTGGCTTTGGTGAGGTGTGGCTGAGGCTGGGAGCTCCCCTAGACTTCCTGCCTGGGGATGTGGCCCTCTCGGGGCTCTGCTTGGTGGGGATGGGCTTTGGTTGGGGTATGGCATGTCTTGGTCCCCTGTGACTCGGGGCACTGTAGGGGCCTCGTAGGTCTGGGGGCTGCGGGATGTGGCTTTGGACCCCATCCGGTTGGAAACCCCCCCACGAGGACGAGTCCAGCAGGGCCTGCGGTGCCCTTGCTCTGGGAGGCTGTTGGAGTTTGCTCTGAGCCTGCCAGCTCTGAGGTCTCCAAACCTACGCTGTCGAGTCGACTCCGACTCACGGGCCCGTGTGTGAGAGAAGAGTGGGCTTCATGGCATTTTTTGGGCCGATTGCCAGGCACTTCTCCCAATGGGCTTCTGTGTGTCCTCGAACCTGCAGCCTTCAGCTTAGTTGTCATTTGATTAGCTGTCACTGAGTCAGCCCTGATGTGTGGGGCCCCGGGTGTGCTGACACAAGCCGTGCTCTGTGGGGTCTCCAGTGGCTGATTATTCAGAAGCCTATTGCCAGGCCTTGCTTCCAAGGGGCCTCTGGGTGAGTTTGGACCTCCAGTCTTCCAGTTAGTGGTCAAACGCAAACCGTTTGCACCAAGCCTATTTCTTGAAAACGCATGATTATAGCCCCCCAACCCCAACCCACTGAGGACTTTCTCTGGAACCAGCCGGGAAAATTTTCTCACTTAGGTCTCACGTGGGCATGAGGACCCTTCACTGTCACGGGCATGCTCCTGACCTCAGGGATGGCTCTGGTGCCCTGGACACTGAACAAGCAGGTCCTGCATCCTCCAACCCTGGGATCTGTCCAGGGCTGATCACCCCGTAAACATCTCAAGGTTTCCCATGACCCCTAAATGCTTGTCTGGGCGTTCCTTCCTGCCTTGGAAGTCTGCTTCAGGTGGGAGTCAGGGAGGGGTTAGCACTCAGGCCCAAGGGGCTTTCCTGGCACTTCAATACTTGACAAGAGCTCAACACTGACCTCCCCATACCCCTGCCTTGTGCTCATTTGTTAGGGGGGAAGCTGAGGCCTGAGAGTGTGTGCCCTGTGCCCCTCTCTGCCCCTGCTCTGCCCCTGGGTCTCTGCTACCGCTCCTTGCGGTGTGACCCGGCATCCTCTGCCATCCTACCTCAGTGAGCGGTGGGAGATAGGTGTATGCGGTGTGAGATTGCCAATGAGCAAGGTAAGCATGGGCTCACTTGTGCTTACTTACTCATCTGTAGTGTTGTCTTTTTTCACCATATCAGAGATTCTGCTTCTAGCTGTGTCAGGCTCTTTCCCCCAAACTCACAGCCCCTTCCCACAGAATCAAAGCCACTTTTCCCATTCACAGGCCCTGACAGGGAGGGGGTACCCAGTCAGCAAGGTAACCACGGGCTGACTTGTGCTTACTCACTGATCTGTGGTAAACAGTTTCACGTGGTTTTTTTTTTTTTTTTTTTTTTTACCACATCACAAGCTTCTGCTTCCCTTGCTTGTTGGGTCCTCTGTGCCTGAGTGTATGAGGGTCCCGAGCTGCTGTAACTACTGGCACAAACCATGGCTTCAGACATCAGACACTCACCGCCCCGTGGCTCTGGAGGCTGGGAGGTCGAGACTAGGGTGTCAGCCATGTAGACTCCATCTGAGGCCCTGAGGGACCTCTCTCGGCTTCCGGTGGCTCCGAGTGTTGCTGACCTGAAGCTTCAGTGTCACATGGCACCCTTCCTTCGTCTCCCTGTCTCTCTGTGTCTCATCTCCTTCATAAGGACATTGGTCAGATGGCACGCGGACCCTCCATACTCCAGTGTTACCTCATGTTAAGAACCTAACTGGCAACACCTTCAAAGACTCCATTTATAAACAGGCCACCTTTACAGGGACAGGTCGACCTTGGAGAGACTGTGGGTTCAGTTCCAGACTCCCCAGCCAGTCCCACAGTGAAGCACCTTGCGAGCATTTACTGGATGCTCAGTGCAGACAGGAGTTAGGTTTACATGACACTGTTGTGTACAAAGCGTGCAAGAGCATGACGGGAAAAGTGAAATATTGTGAGAAGGACCAAACTGGGACCCAGAGACATGGAGTGAGCACATGCTGTTGGAAGTACTGTGAGAGCGACCAAACAAGGACCAGAGACATGGAGTGAGCATGACTGTTGGAAATATTGGGAGAGCGACCAAACGGGGACTAGAGACACAGAGTGAGCCCACACTGTTGGAAATACCATGAGAGCAACCAAACGGGACCAGAGACACGGAGTGAGCCCACGCTTTTGGAAATATCATGAGAGTGACCAAATGGGACCAAAGACACGGAGTAAGCCCACGCTGTTGGAAATGTTAGGAGAAGGACCAAATGGGACCAGAGACACGGAGTGAGCCCACGCTGTTTGAAATATCATGAGAGCATAAAATGAGGTGTGCCTGACCAAAGACTTTACCATGTCTTCTAGGGATGCAGTTTGCCAAGTAACTGGGTCTTATGATCCCCCAGGTCTGGGGTAGCTGCGATCTTGGGCACTGGAGCAGGGTTCCTAGGTCAGAACTTTGCATTATGCTGAGGGGCCATACTCAAGCATCAAGGCAGGGAGGGGTCTTGGGTGCAGGAATTAAATGGGGTCAACTCATTCAAGGAGCTTGGCCAACTCATTCAAGGGGGCTTGGGCTCCCCGCTTGGCTTCCCACAGAGGAAGGACAGACACCCTTTCCTGGCCTGAGGTCCTAGAGGCTTCATATCCCCATGTTTGGGGCCCCGCAGGAGTCCAGCCACTGGGGCTGGGAAAGGCCCATCTCTGCCCTGGGCCCAGCCCTGATGCCAGGGCAGGTGGTGGGGCTGGAGCTCAAGGTGCCGTCATGTCGGGCCAAGGCTGCAGCTGGCCCCTGCCCGAGGTCACAGAGGGTCTCGTCCGGGGCTAGGCCCTCGGACCCAGATCTCTTCCTGTTCTCCCTTTCTGTGTTCCCTGCCAGTCGGAATGTTGGGAGGAAAACATCCGGGCCGGACACTGGGGGCCTAGTGGGGGGACAGAGAGGAACAGGGCCCCATTGTGGAGATGGCCTGGCTTGCTGCGTATGGGGCTGGGGCGGACATCGACCTGGGGCGTGGGCACTAGCCCCGAGAAGCCCCAGATTTGGACTGAGCGCCTTTGTAGCAGGCATGGGGTGGGCCTGAGGAGGGGTGGTGGCAGCCCTGTCTGTCGCCTGGGTGTAGGGGCTGTATTTTCTGGCTGCAATGTCTCTGCTTCTGGCCTTTGGCCTTTGATTCAAGCTGATTAGAAGGCTGAATGTGGTTGGGCCAAAGTCACCCCTGCTGGCCTGGTGGGGAGCTGTCCAGCAAAGGGTTGGCTTAAGGCCACCCTGGCCCTTGTGTTCTGAGGAACATGGCTGGGCCCCTGTGACCCCGTGGGGGCAGCTGAGGCCCCAGACTTCATCCCCCAACAGCTGCTTAAGGCTGGGCCTTTGCTGGGTGCTCAGACATTGGGGGCCTGTGTGGGTTGTACCCCCTCTAGGACTGGACTCTGGGACAGTAGGTGGAGGGGCCCTGGGGTTCACCAGGGCTGGAGGGAGGCAGTGGGGGGTCAGGCCAGCCCTGCTGCCTGCTCACTGCACCGCCTGCCCCTGGGTCTCAAGCAAGGCTCTACGATTGGTCGCTCTCTGCCACTGGGGCTGGGGCTGACTCTGGGTCCCTCCCTGCTCTTCCCACTTTCCCGTGGGTTGGGTGTGGGTTGGAGGGGTGTGGGACCTGCGGGCCGGGAGCTGCCATGGAAGAAATATGACCTGAGCGCTCCTTAGACGTAAGGATGGTGAGGCTCGGTCGCTTACTGTGGACACGTCATCAGGAGTGACCAACGGCTGGAGAAGGACATTGTCACATCCGGTAGAGCAGAGGGTCAGCGAAAACAAGGAAGACCGTCAACAAGATGGATCGACACAGCGGCTGCCGTGACGGGCTCAAACGGGCCAGCGCTCCTGAGGGTGGGACGGGGCTTGGCAGCGCTGCGGTCCGTGGTAGGTGGAGCCTCCGTGACTCGGAGCCTAGTCAGCGGCACCTGACAACACTCGACGCCTCCGGAGTCCCTTCCGTTCCCTGTGGATGAGGGGTCGGAGTGAGGAGGCAGCAGGGGCTCAGTCGTGTCCTACCAGGAGGACCTGTGTGACTTGGGAAGGGCTCCAGCCTGTGCAATTGGTAAATGGTAGTTTCTATTGCTGATCAACTCTGCTGCCTTGAGGTTCCAGGATGGTCTGGGGGTGCCGTGGGGTGTCCTCAGCAGGCAGGGCTGGGACGCCATGGGCAGCAAGGACTTGGGGCCTGTTGTCCTGTGTGTCTGACTACAGGGGTTGCTGTCGTTGGCTGCATTGGCTCTGAGGCATGTGCAAGTGTGATAGTCAAGCTTCAGATGAGCTCTGGTGGGGAGACCAGTGTCTGGCTTGTTAAGGTGAAGGACACACCCAAAGAGAAGAAAGGGAGGGCTGTGGGGACTCCCCACTTGGAAGGTTCTGGGAGCATATCAGGGACCGAGGAGATGTGGGTGAGGGTCCCCAGGAGGAGGCCATTGCCTCAGCCCTGCACATGGGAGCAGGAGGCATCCCAGAACTGAGGGTTCTTGGTGTGTTCTGGGGGCAATGTGGCTTTTTCCTGGCCAGACGAAGGTGGCGGAATGGCCTGGAATCCTCGCATACTCAGGCAGGTGCAGTCATAAACCTCTGTTTGTTTTCTCTGATCAAACTGGCTGTCTGGAGAGAGAGTGGGTTCCTAGACTGTGTGGCCCTTGTGGGCCTGGGGAGGGGCCGGGGCGGGGGCTGCTGTCTTGGGGGAGAGGGATCTGGGTGAGGCGGCTTATTGAACAAGGGGGCTGGGCCAGCCCAGGCCTGGAGCAGGCAGCCGCCCTGCCTAGCTCAGCCCAGACCAGGAATCCAGGCCAGCACCCTGGGCCCTGCCTCCAACCTTTCAGCAAGTGTGCGTGTGTGTGTGTGGCTGTGGGTGTAAGTGAGATCAGAGCGCCGCTGTCCCCTCTGCTGGGGGCCAGGTGGGGAAGGCTGTAGGGTCCTGTATGGATAGGGGAGCTGGTCCCGTTTGTGTCCTCTGAGGCCCTAGGTCAGGCAGGCGCAGTGTCTGGACCGGCTTGCTGTAGTGCTGGGTGGTGAAGTCCAGAGCTGGCCCCCACTTCTCTTGGGGTATACCCCAGGGTGACCTGCCCGCCCTGTGTTCTTGAGGGAGGGTCCTTCTGGGAGCCCTCACTCACCTGCCCGCTGTGGGGCACGGGAACTTGAGCTACGTGAGCTGGGCAGGCCACCCCGTGGTACCCCAGGCTTGGTGACGTGGGGTACGATTTCATCGCTGCAGCAGCACCTGGTCTGGGAGGGCAGGGCTGCCCTGCGTTCCAAGGCTGGGTGCATCTATGGCCTTGATTCACCCTTACCACGCCCCCTGGGGTGGCATGGTCACTGTCCCCATTTGCACGTGGGGATGTTGAGGCTCTGACAGGCCTGGTCTGACTGAGCCTATGGGCGTCTCCTGGGCCTGTTGTCTTGGTGTCAGTCGGCGAGGAGCCCCTGTTCCAGAGGGTGGAGTGGGGTGATGCCGCAGCTCCCTTCCTGCATCCTGAGCCAAGTTTCTCCTGGAACTCCGAGTGACGTAGTGAAACCTCCTGCCGCAGCTCCTGACCCTGCCGGGTTCATGCCGTGCCCCACAGCTGTGAGCGCAGGCCGTTCACACCCGGGCAGTACATACCACTTCACACGTCGGTCGGGCACCTTTGCACCCAGGTTGATGATTAACACAGCCACTGCGTGAGGCCACAGTGAGCACACAGCCTGGTCCAGTGCCAAGAGCAGCTTATCGGATGGGCAGGCCGGGTACAGGGCTGACCGTACTGCCCAGTCGTTAGGACCCTCCACATGGGTCCTGGACAGCCCCTTCTCAGACTGACCCCCAGGAGGCAGTGGCCCTGGGCGGGGTGCATCCCCTCAGGTCTGTGGTTTCCTCATCTATTGACCAATAACTCTGCAAGTGCCAGGGAATGAAGGGCAGGCTCTATCCCCTCCTGCCCCTTTCCCTGGGTAGATGGTGAGGACTGAATTGGTGACAGCCACTCACGTGACACCCAGCTCCACAGCAAACAGGAACTGGAGAGTCTCTTAAGGCCCCAGAGTAAGGGGCCACAGGTGAGGCCAAGGGTGGGTGGGCTGAGATGCTATGCCAGTGTCCTGGCATGGCCATGGCAAAGACCACATGTGTGGGGGCTGATAGTCACTGAGTTCTGGAGGCCAGGAGTCTGAATTCAGGGTGTCAGGGACACGCTCTCCCAGAAGGCTCTAGACAGGACGCTTCCTGGCCTCTCTCCACTCCTCACAGCCCCAGCTATCCTTGGCTTACAGCTACATCTTCCCACAGCGCCTTCCTCTGTCTCTGTGTCTTCCCCCTTTTGTAAGATGGCACTCAGGTTTGATGAAGGCCAGTGGAGGTTCGGTGGTAGAACGGTGTCCTTCCACACCGGAGACCCGGGTTCGATCTCCAGCCACTGCCCCTCACGGGCAGCCCCCCGTCGCTCAGTGGAGGCCTGTGTTGCTGGGAGGCTAAACGGGTTTTAGTGGAGCTTCCAGACAGACAGATAGACCAGGAAGGAAGGCCGGGTGACCGACTTGTCAAAGTCAGTCCTGGAAACCCCATGGGTCACAGCAGTGACATCTGCAGCCGATGGCGGGAAGGCATTTCCTTCCATTGGGTGTGGGGTCACCTTGAGGTAGGTGATGGGGTTAGGGCTGGTCCTACTCCAGTGTGACCTCCAGTTGCCCAAATACCTCTTCAAAGACCTCATTCCCAGACAAGGCCACGTTCACAGGAATGGGGTCAGGACTTGAACAGACCTCTGGGGATACCGTTCCACTCACCGTGGATGGTCGTCATTCCCGTGTAAGGTTCTGATGAGGTTATCGGGGGCCCCGGGGAAAGGAAGCGTGTGGAGGCTGGGGAGTGTGGACAGGGCAGGCTTTGTGGAAGAGGTGGCCGAAGAGGCAGACAGGATGTGGTGGGCACGGGGCTGGGACGGATAGGATTTGTTGGGAGACTTAGGCAGGAAGCGGGTGGTGGAAACGCTATAATCCAACCATGGACAAGACTGAGGTTTCAGAACTCTGACTGCAGAGCTGGCCACCCATTTAATGCTGCCACTTACAGCGTCCTTGGAAGGAGGCGTCCCGTGTCTCAGTTTCCCTTCTGTAACTGGAGGTTGTTGGGAGGGTAAACGGGTGAACCATGAAGGTGGCAGGGAAACCTTTGCCTGCCTGTCTGTCAGTGGGTGAAATGAGCTAGGGTACCAGGGTACTTCAGTGTAGATGCAGCTGGTGCCCGGCGACCTGTGTGGTTGGGGTGGAACTGGGCTCTGTGTGTTGGCAGTGAGTGCGAGCACCTGGGTGGACTTGAACCCCCAGCCCTTTGGTTCCGAGTTGAGTGCTCACTAGGACGGTTTACTGGGTACTGTGTGTACGCTATGTGCACCCAATAACAGGATGCGCCAGTCCCCAGGGCCCAACATGAGACCCTGGCAGGGCCAGAGTGGGTGCCCTGGGATTTCTGGGGGTCCATCTTACCCCTAGCACTCTTGAGCCCCGGGGGCTGCACAGTTGGCTGAACTAGGGAAGGATGTGGTGGCAGGCCTGCCTGAGGTAGTCCTGCACTAGGGAGGTGCGGCGGGCTGGGTCCTGAGTTGGCCAGCCATGTCCTTCGGCCACCTCGGGGCTGGAACAGGTGACACAGGCTCGTGCCTGCCCCTGCTGCCCTTTGCTGTTACAGCTTTTCCAGGAGTCTACCGGGCAGCCCCCCGAGACCTGCTAGAGTTCCCAGCCTGCATCCCCCTAAGACAGCCGGGCTTCCACAGCGGCATCTGGGGACTCTCCTGGCCTCTTGAGCACCAGGTCACCCAGCAGCAGTCTCCAGGGTGTCCTGTGTTTGTCCTTGAGCTGGACGTGGGAGGCCCGGGTGAGGGTCCGGAGCGAGCCACGCTCAGGATGTGTCATGTTTTCTTTTTAATAAAAGTCCACATTTGGCAAAATTTCCCCCAGCCCAGCTGTCCAGAAACATTGGAGCGAAGCTCTCACTCTGCTGCCCGTCCTTCCAGCCTCCTCTCGGGCCCCTGGGAGCTTGCGGGTTTATTTTCGACAGAGATGGGATCAACCCGCAGACCTGTGCTGCAGCTTGTTGGCCCCCTAACCCCGCCTGCACCTGCCCTCCACCCCGTCAGGTGTGGACCCCAGAGAGCCTTGACACCGGCACTCATGCGGCTCTGTTTCCTCGGCAGGTGGCCAAAGTGGAGTATGTCAGGAAGAAGCCAAAATTGAAAGAGGTCCAGGTGAGGCTGGAGGAGCACCTGGAGTGCTCATGTGCGACCTCGAACCTGAACCCGGACTACCGGGAAGAGGAGACGGGTGAGTGGCACCGCCCCAGTGCTGCAACTTCACTGACGCAAGGAAGGTCCCTCCAACCTGGCTGCAAGGCTGTTTGGGGCTGGTTTCCATGAAGAGGAGCCTTCGGGTGGTGCCAACAGTTGATGGGCTCGGCTGCTCACCAAAAGGTTGGGTGTTCGAGTCTACCCAGAGGCCCAGTGGCAGAAAGGCCTGGCAGTGTGCTTCCAAATGTTCAGCCTCTGCAAACCCTGCAGAGCCCAGATCTGCTCTGACCCATGGGCTCACTGTGACTCGGCGTCAGCTCTGTGGGCCATAGGACTGGGGGTTACACATCCCCGGGAACCTGCTAGGGCCAAGGTCCTGCCCTGCAGGCGTGCAGGGCAAAATCTTGGGCAGAGCTGCGGGTCTCAGGGACAGGCTGTCGGAATCATGTGAGTGACAGCCAGTGGAGGCTTTTGAGTTGAGCGCACTGGGCCAGCTGGCTGGGTGCGGTGTAGACGGGAGGACAGGTGGACAGGTACTCACTGGCTGCCCCAAGCCTTGACCTTCACCCTTCAGCCTGGACTTTGCCCAGAGGCAGCAGGGTGGGGGGGGACCAGGAAGTGCAGGGTTTTCTGCAGAAAGATAAACACCACAGGTATTTATTGCTTTGGGTTTCCACCAACAGCCTTCCCCCAGGCCCTCTCACCCTCCCTGCCCTTTTGTTAACAGGAAGGCCTAGGGGATCAGGTAAAAAACGGAAGCGCAAAAGGTTAAAGCCCACCTAGAGCGGCCAACCAGGTAGGGTCTGTCTGCTGCAACCCCACGGGGAGGGAGACAATCAGAATCACACCGGCCAATCACGCTGCAGTCTGGAGAGGAGAGGATGATGATTGGCCTTGATCTGTTCCTGCTTCCGGTGTCGCTGGCTGTGGGTCTCCAGCTCGCAATCCCGGGCCGAAGGCCCTGCCCCGCTCCTTTTTATTGATTGGGTCCCACATGAATGTGCTGGTGGGTGGTAAACGTTGGAGAGGTGGTTTCCTGAGCAGCCGAGGGCGGCACTGATGTTGCCTAGCTGGCGTCGTTTTTGGTGAGTTTCACATCCCATTTGACAGATGGAGAAACTGAGGCTTACAGGGTTCACAGACGGGTTGTTCAAGGCTGAGATGATCCTATCTGCAGAGGCTTTGTCATCGGTGCCTGGGGTGATGCAGTGACTACATTCTTGACAAACAAGGCTGGTGGTTCAGATCTACTTCTGAAAAACTACAGCCATTGAAAACCCTGTGGGACTCAGTTTTGCTCTGACACCCCAGGGGTCACTGTGAGCTGCACTCAGCTGGACAGCTAGTTATGTAAGTGGACAGGGCTGTGGGCTGCTGTCAGAGACGGCACCAGGCGGCCAGTAACATCCCAGAGATAACAAGGGATCAGATGAGGCAGGAGTCCCTGATGGGATTCGAGGAAGTAGTCGCCCTCAGAGCCGCCTCAGGCTACAGTGGGGCTGCCAGAGCCCCAGAAATCACGCCCGTGCTCTAGGCTGGAAGGAGGAAGATGAGGCGGACAGAGGGCCTCGGAGAGCTTTCCCAGAAGTCCCACCTGGTGGCATTGCCTGTGTCTCCGTGGCCATCCTCCACGCTAGGGGCCCAGGAAATGTGGTCTTTTTAGGGAGGAACCTTGTTTCTCAGAAGACAGTGGGGTTGGGGCAACCACAGGCATCCCAAGGAGGATGCTTCAGGGCTTCCTGGTCCTGTGTGTTGGCCCACCTGGCCCTCGGGAATCCGTGGCGTCCAAAGTAAATAGTTGTGAGAGAAGCTCTCCAGAGGCTGTCCCTGAGAGTGGGTTGGGACTGGGAGAGCCCAGAAGGTCAGGGCCATTCACGAGGTTCCTCTTGGGAGGAAAGTGGTTCCAAGGCATCCAAAGCGTGGCCCAGCTTTGTGTTAGCCAGCCCGCAGGTGTGGCAGGTGGGTGGCCTTGTGCCTGTCTGTGGACCTGACCTCCATAGAGCACTGGATTCTTGTCTCCACCACGTGGCTGATGACACAGACCCAACAATCGGAGGCAGAGGGGCCTGCTTCTGTGCCCTGCTAGCTTCAGGCTCCAGGCAGGTGGGTGGCACACATGTCAGAATGAGCCATGGGATGGAAGAAGCTATAAAGCTGCTCTTTGCTCAAAGCAGGGGCCCAGCTGTGCCTGGCCCCAGAGAATTTCCAAGCCAAGGCTAGTGGTTCTCCATACTGCCTCGTAGCCTAAAATGACTGCTGGGGCTCCAGAAATCACACCTATGCTCTGGACTGGAGGGAAAAAGAAGGTAGGGAAGAAGAGGCAAGAGAAGAACCCTTGGGCCTCAGCTTCTTTCATCTGTACAATGGGAGGCTGGGGCTTGCTTTCAACCATGCTCTGTGAGGTGCTGTGAGCCCAGTCCCTATCCTGGCCAGGGTGTTGGAGCCAGGTTAGTGAGGCAACCTTGGTTCAGACAACGTCCTGAAAGCTTTGTGTCCTAAGATTGGCTCTGCTAGCCGCTGACACTGTGCCATGTATGCGTGGTGGCCCTGCTCCACTCAGTGACTGTCTCTCCCTCTTCCTGCAGATGTGAGGTGAGGACCAGCGGGCAGCCCTTCCCCGGGACATGGATGTCCATGGCGTGTTACATTCCTGAACCTACTATGTACGGTGCTTTACTGCCAGTGTGCGGTCTTTGTTCTTCTCCGTGAAACTGTCTCCAAGAACACTCTGGAGAACAAAGAGACAGTGTGCGTTTGTGTACTGTGACCTCAAAGCAAGTATTGTGGCGCCCAGTGTACAATGAGAGGCTTCCTTGTCAGAAAAAGAAAGGGGAGAGAGAACAGAACCATAACACTACAAAAACAAAATGACCCACAAGAAAACATCCACACGTTGGCCCAGAGGACGCCCAGTGTGATGGGGGTAGCGGCCGTCACAGCAGCGGACTGGATTTCTGTCACAGGTGCTTTTGGCCAAGGATGCGGAGCCTACTTTCTGAGCGACTCCCAACGGAGGCACGCAGGAGCTGGGAATGTACCAGAACATGCCACGCCAGCATTTGGCACCACACCTCCTTGTGCACGCGTAGTGTTTAAGCCTACACAGAAACCTTCTTGGGAGCCTTAAGTGGATTTTTTTTTTTACACCATAAAGTGATTATTAAGCTTTCCTTTTTATTCTTTGCCTAGCTTTTTTTTTTTTTTTTTTTTTTTTTTTTAATTATCTCTTGGTGACGACATTTACACCGATAACACACAAGGCCGCTGTGACTGTTGACGAGAACGGTATTTTCCTAGCAGGACGCAGACTAATGAGATGAGATGTATTAAAATAAACACGGTATACCTACCTATGCATCATTTCTAAACGTCTCTGGCTCTGTGTGTTTGCCCCTCCCCGCTCCATCTTAACTTATATTTCGTAGCAGCCATTTTAAGGGACTCTGTGTAGACCTCTGTACTTTTGGGCGCTCTGGTGGCATAGTGCTTAAGGCATCTGAGTGCTAACCAGAAGGCTGGTGGTTCAAACCCACCAGCTACTCCTCGGAAGACTGGGCAATCTACTTCCATAGAGATAGCGCCTTGGAAACCCAAGGAGGGGTCGCTGTGAGTCAGATCCAACTCAATGGCAGTGGGTTTTTTTTTTTTTTTTTGGTTTTCTGTGTAGACCAGTGGTGGCTCCGTGGTGGAATGCTTACCTTCCATGGGGGGGACCAGGTTTGATTCCTGGCCAGCGCACCTTGTACACCAGCAGGCGTCTTTCCATGGAGGCTGGGTGCTGAACCATCTCCACAGAGTTTGCAGACTAAGACGAAATGGGAGAAAGGCCTGGTGACTGGCTTGAGTCTGCTGTAGGCAACCTGACGGATCCCACGGGTCCATTTCTGCAGTCCGTTGTGGGGCGTATGGCCCATGCAGTGTTTAGTTCTGTTGTGCGTGGGGTCGATAGGAGCTGGGGGCTGAGTCAGCAACTAGAGCCAAAGGCCATAGACCAGCTGTTGGTGCCCTGTGCAATGCTGTGCTCCCCCACGGTACCCGTGGTGGGGTGTTGGCTCACTGTCCCCTGGCTGAGGAACCGTGTCCCCGCTTGCTCCTGACCTGTTGCTGTGGTGGGGTGCCAGTGTTTGCATAAAGCCGCAGTTCTTCATTGTCGGTGAGATGCTTTGTGTATACCCCATAGGAACGCGTGCACATGTGTGGTTTTTGTCAAGATGATGCTTGTTCTTGCCGACTATAATCACGTACCTGAGAGCCTGCTATAACTATTCTGCAATCAGAGGAAAGAAATGCCCCAAAACAAAACTCATGCAGATGAACAGCTGTTTGCAGATGAGTTTTTCTAGCCCCCACAGACCTCACGTCAGCAGTTGGAAGACCCATGGGTGACAGCTAGCTGGGGCCTCTGAGCCCACCTTCACGAATGAGGAATGCAGGGCCTGCCTAGGGATTCCGGGACCTTGGGAGAGGAGGCCAGAGGGTTCCGTCCCACAGCCTGCGTGCTGCCTTGTAGAGAGGAGACACCCCACTGAGCCAGCCAGAGGATGGACAGTTTTAGTCCAGGAGCCAGCTGGCTGGGCAGGAGCGGCCGAGCCGTGCCCGCTGGTGAGGCCAGTCAGTGTGGGCAGCTAGGAGCCCTGCCCTGCCCTCTGGCTGCTGGCTGCTCCAGCCTGGTGTCCTTCCTGCACTGGGCCTTGTAGCTCCTGTGGTCCCCAAGCTCTCTCATTCTGTATTGTCTGTGGAGTTGTCTCCAGGCATGTGGCTTGCTCCTCTGCCCCTATGTTTGGACATTTTGAAGGAATTTCTGTAGGAAGGTGACATCCTGGTTCCATTTCTGGCCTGATTATTGGCATACCCGGTGTGACTGGGCATGGTGTCAGAGAGCATGGTAGGGGGTGAGGGTGACTGTGCCTGCTGGTGCCCACCCTCCCTGGCATAGCAGACAGATGCACGCCATGTGGTCAGCCCAGTTCCTGTCTGTGGGCCCCGTCTGAGGTCTCTGCCTTGTGCCTGTGGGCGGAGGTCTGACCTTGCAGGAACGTGGGACTTAGGTATGGAGCTGTGTCTCCCAGGTGATGCCAGTAAGGCACTCGGTGTCTCCCCACAAAGTCCTCTGAAATGACACACCCACAAACAACAAAGTCCGAGAGCCAGGCACCCTTGTGGGGACTGGCACCCTGAGAAGGGTCCAATGGGAGCCTGGCCTGTCAGTGCCCTTTCTGCCTCCCATCATTCCTTCGTTCCTTCATTGACTTGCAGGTGAGAGTCTGCACTGGGCCAGGCCATGGTGACCAGTGGTGCTGACCAGCTCAGCACCTCCACCTCCCACGTGGGCGGGAAAGCCGGCAGCCGCACCCAGCCAGGAAGGGCTGTGGCCGGCGGAGGCTGTGGTCTGTGGCCGGCCTTGGTGGGGGTGGCCGGCCTTGGTGGGGTTGCCCAGACTTTGAGGTGGCTGCAACATCTTTGGCTGTGCCGCCCACATAGGACTGCCGCTTTTGCTGTGGTTGGACCCTGCATTCCCAGCATTGCTGCCCCTGCCCAGCCTGGCCCGCCTGTAACCCCAGGCTGTACCCCAGCATGCCCCCGGGAACTGATGTCTGCTTGGATCCAAGGGTGATGGTGCCGGGCTTCCCCAGGTCTCAGACACGGCTGCAGAGGGGATGGTGGCTCGGCGCTGGCGTGAGAGTGCGTCAGTGGGGCACAGACCAAGGCTGGGGCTAGGAGTCCTGGTGTTGCTGATTCACTGGTCATGTCTTTGAGCCTGTCACACGGGCACCCCAGCACTG